AGGGGCACAGCCTGCCCCACCATGGGCTGCCCCAGGGGCTGAGGGGAATCTCTGCTCTGGCGCCTGGAGCCCCTCCTGCCCCTCCTGTGGCACCGGCCTGGGGGGTGCAGGGCTGCTCCCCTCATGGATTCTCACTCCTCTCTCCGGGTGCTGCTGGTGTTGAGAATTCCCTCTCCCCCCCAGCCCCCCGCCCCTTCTTAAACATGTTATCCCAGTGGTACTACCACCGTTGCTGATGGGCTTGGCCTTGGCCAGCAGCAGGTCCATCTTGGAGCCAGTTGGCATTGGCTCTGTTGGACATGAGGGAAGCTTCCAGCAGCTTCTCACAGAAGCCACCCCTGTAACCAAGGTACCAAAACCTTGCCAAGAAAACCCAATACAGCCTGATAATTTCTTTGAAGAGTTCCATCCATTGTTTGAACCAGGAGGGACAAACAAGTGGCAACCCCCTAATCTGGAAAATGTAATGATTCAAAAAAGGGACAAGCAATAAACATTGTTTGGTTGTTTGCTTTGTTTCTTTTTTTTTAATCACCTGCTTGTTTGGGATGGATAAAGTGACTAGATTCTGAGGTAGTGCTATCTTAAAGCTTCTTTAGTACCAGTCTGTGAATGCAAACAAAACCTACAGATTTCTGTAAAGCTCAACCAATGAGGTTTCAAGGCTTTCAGTCCCAATTTACTGATGTCCTTTACTAATCTTAAGTAAACCATTTCTTATGGCGAGACTCCTGTAGTTACACACGCAGTAATAGCAAATGATTTTTAGTGTCTCATTTTCAAGAACATTAACTTAATCATGACAAAAAGCAAGCTCCTTAGAAAGGCACTGCTAGTCTTTAAATGTCATTTTTAAAGTTCAGCATAATAATTAACAGACTGAAAATGTCAGCAAAAGATGAGACCAAGATGGTTATGTGTTTCAAGATTTTGTAAGTCACCACAGGAGTTACATCCCATCTAGCGTATGTAGTTCTGCTGATAACTTGAAACTTTGTTATTCACAAGTATAGCACTTCTTACTGAAGTGTGAAGATTAGGACTTAGTATCTTAGTTTTTCCTCAGATTAACAATTATATTCAGTTATATAGTCCTGAAATGCTATTGGAATTACAATATTAAGAGACCTCTATCTGAGAAACAAAAAAAATCCTCTGAAATATTAAAAAAAAAAATCTAATTGTAGACCACAGCATGGCTATGTAAGACATCATCTAAAGAACAATAAAACTTCAGTGAACAACTGTTGTTCGCTATTGGCAACAAATTAGACTGTAGATGGGAAAAATAGAATCATAGAATGTTTTGGGTCAGAAGGGACCCCTAGAGGTCATCTAGTCCAACCCCCCTGCAGTAAGCAGGGACATCGCTAACTAGATCAGGTTGCTCAGAGCTCAGTCCAACTTGGCCTTGAATGCTTCCAGGGATGGGGCCTCTACCACCTCTCTGGGCAACCTGTTCCAGTGTTTCACCACCCTCATTGTAAAGAATTTCTTCCTTCTATCTAGTCTAAACCTACCCTGGTTTAGTTTAAAACCATTACCTCATGTCCTGTCACAGCTGGCCCTACTAAAAAGATTTTCGATTGTCCCTGTCTTTCCTATAGGCCCCCTTTAGGTACTGAAAGGCCGCAATCAGGTCTCTCCGCAGCCTTCTCTTCTCCAGGCTGAACAAGCCCAACTCCCTCAGCCTGTCCTCGTAGGGGAGGTGCTCCAGCCCTCGGATCATTTTTGTGGCCCTCCTCTGGACGAAATATACATACTACATTCAAAATATGAAAATGTAACAATATTTTGTTGACATCAGCATACAAAAGATTTTGAAGGCGATTTCTCAATTGGTTATTTCAAAATTTTCATGAAGAAGTAGTGGTTCATTTCCAAAAATCTCCACCATAGTTACATACTTTAAGAGCCTTTTGTTTTTCTAATCATTGCTTCCATCATATCCCACTGCTCTTTCGTAACCTGATAAAAGAAAAGAGGATTTGATTGGAATTCCATATAATAATTACACATCTAAGTATTTGCTTGAATGTAAAATAGCAAGCAAGGAATTTAATACCTTCTTCAAATCATTGAATTCTCCTGCCATAGAAACGTATTCTCCACCATCCATTCTAATCACCTAGAAAAAGCACAAGAGGGGTATTCAGTAATAGTAGGGTTTCTGTAGCATTCCCTTGTTGTGAACTGTGAAAGTAATTTTTATTGATTTGGATCAGAAAAACCCATGTTCAAAATAATTTAATTCAATCATTTTTAAAAGTTCTTTTTAAAGGTACTAATTACCATGCATTAGAATTAAAAGGGTAATAATGCTTGCAAAGAATTTCAAAGTAACAGGTTTTGTTTCATTTCTGAAACAAGGGCTTTAAAAAATATCAGCAAAACGCAGATCATCATCAGGTTAATTGTATGAACAAGATCAATTCAAACTTACTGCTCCATTAACCCAGCTTGCATAGTCACTGCAGAAATAGGCAGCAAGATTTGCAATTTCTTCTACAGTTCCCAGACGGCCACAAGGAATCCTCTTAATAAATTCCTTCTCAAATGTGCCTGTTGGGTCAAGGCGGCTAAAAGCACCCTTAGAATTAAGAGAAACATTTGGGAAAAAACCAGAAAGTTATAACTATATCAGAAATTAAAATCCAACAGAGATTTGATTCTGCATAAACAATACAGAAGTTAACATCTGTGAGTAAACTGTCTACACCATCTTTGCCATTAGGATGAAAAAGAAGTAGGGAACAGAAAACAGAATTTATCCCTGTTGCACCGTATGCATCTACTGAGGGTGATAAGCTGGAATTTAACATGTGTGGGACAGCCAACCACCACCTATCTATGAAAAACAAAAGGGGTTAATAATCTTTGTTTCCCAAACACCCTTGATAAACATTTGAGAAAACAAGCAAGACTCAAAATTGCTGCATGGACAGGGGAGAGGAATAAAGAGAGAAAAGAAGTAGGAAAGCGACAGAAAAATTATACATAACACAGAGTAAGCAAACCTGAAAAGAAAGAAAAAAAAAAAAATCAAGTTTGGTTAAATTGCACCAATGGCTAACATTCAACTATGCCACTGGAAGTTTTAGTATTTGACTAGCTTAGAATGGCACAGGAAACAGAAGAGGTTTTTTGTTCTTCCTGGCTCCTCCACAAGGAAACAACCTCCTCAGGCAAAATCAGAAAAGTGTTAGCAACATTTATGTTACATTACTGAAGTTATGAGAGTTAAAGCACACTGTAATTTATGTAATCATGGCTGTACTCAGCCATTTAAGTCTTCTATTGCCATGTTTTTAAATGCCAGTTTATAAGCTTAATGGTATTGCGCTTCTACACTTTTTCCTTTTCCTATCATGACTTACAACAGTGTTGTGTTAAAGACGGGGATGTAGCCCCTAAGGCAGAAAGTCTCAATTTTGCAATATGCTGTTTTAAGTAAAGCTATCCTACCTTTTTACACTTTCAGGGAAATTTTAACATGGAACCAGTATGAGAAATGTAGTACTTTATTAATAACACACAGTATCTCAGGTGGGATATACGTTATTAGTTTAAATCAGAAACATTAACAGGAGGTAGCAGCATTGAAATTTAAAGCAGTTAACTTGCCAAAAATTATGAGACTCTATGAATCAAAGTAATCTTGCCATGCGATATAGTGGATGCCAAAAGTTTATATGGATTCAGAAAGGAACAGGACAAACTAATGGAAGAAAAAAAAAATTCCATCAAGATGATTACAACATGAAAATATATCAAAGACCCTGGCCCACAGAATGCCAGAGGCTGGAGACATAAAGAAGAAATGTTGTTAAATGTTTTTCTTCGACTCTTGCCTAAAAATCCACCAGATACACGCTCTGGAGGACTTCGGGTCTGATACTGTAATGTTGTTTCAACGTTCTTAAAATCCTGCTGATACTGCCACTTATCTTTCTTTACAGTCAAAAAAGGTAAAAATGAGTTGTCCAGTGTACCATCTAATACTGATGAGAGGGAAAAAAAAAATTTAAAAGGTGAAAAAAAAAAAAACCCCAGAGGTAACCCTGCACCCCTACCCCCAAAACAACAGCAAAACCAACTGTGAAATATTTTACAGGTAGTAGTAAGACCATTATTAGCTGTTACTGCTCATCATTGTAATATTTTGATTCAATGTGAAACAGATGCTCCTCTGCCCTCCTGCAGGACTGCTTTCTTTTTTCTTCCTGTTCCAACTGGTCTGGATTACTTACTTCAAACCCTCCAGTCCTCTTTTTCAGTCATATCAAAGCTTCACATTTCCTTGCTGACTTAGTTTTTCTCTTCCTAGTTTTGTAATTTTCAACAAAACTAGTGAGATTCTGTTCTCATACACCTAAAAGAGATTCTAAAATTTTGGAACTGATGAGATGTTTTGTTTGAAGTTAGGAGTTCAGGCACTTCTACTCCACCAAGTGTAAGAATATACTTCACTTGACAAACTAGGTACGTACAGTTGATAAGAATCAACATGAAATATTTTGATATATCATTTCTTTAAAATACTAAAAAAAGGTTTCATTTATACTAGTGTAGTAGAAGGGGCAGTGGCAGGTTGCAGAGTTCAAGAAATTCTATTTTACAAAAGAATTATTGAGAGGTAGCACATTCAATATTCCAGCAGAGTCCTGACTACCAAGGAAATCATACTTGAATTTAACAGTTACACAAAAGGCCAGACTACATTAAAGTTAAGTCTGTACTACAAAGCATATTCAAGGCTGTGTTTCACTTCATGCTATGTACCTTTGTTTTTATTGGACCTGGTTGAATCACATTGAATCTCATGCCATATTTACCCCATTCAGCTGCAAGCGACCTAAAAATTCATTAACAGAATGCATGAATATTTTAAACACAATATTTTAATAATGCTATTCAGAAAAAAAATATACTTAAAACTGAATCAAACGTGTAAATACTACAATTTTCCTGAAACTGGCATTTTTACTTAAGTTTTTTTTTTCGGTTCTTAACAAAAACATTTCAGAGAAGAAAAAAAAAAAATCACATTGACAAACAGTGGAATATTAATTTAATAGATGCGTCATAGATAAAGCAACATTAAGGAGCAATTCTTTCTCCCTTGCAAATCATATAGATGATTTTGGCACCTAAATTCCTTGACAAGCAACTGTTAGGTCACCACCTTTTTCTGGTAATTTAGGCTATCTCACGAGTATGCATTTCTAACATTTTCAACATAGCTCTCACATCAGATGTTTTGAAATAACACAAAACAGAGGTTACATTCTAAAATGGGACCAGTAGAATAATTTTGCTCTATAGCAACATTTTCTCTGCATAAGCAGTACTTCAGATAGATCATCTATTACAGTGAATGAATTAGCTGGGTCATAAAGTCTCTGAAAAGTACACACTTCAGTTACAGCTCTATAGAACAGGAATCAAGACCATCACTCATTCCCTCATTTTCCTCTGGATAAAGAATTCTAGTTACTAAAAGGCTGCCAAACTATTCAATCCCTTCTGCTGAAGTGCAGAGGAGGATCTGTTTGCTACAAAGGACTGCCCTACAGTTAATAATGATAGAAATCCTTTTGTTTGCTGAGTAACTTGGATATGTCACATGATACTGTTCTGAATTAAGTATAAGTGCAGACCTTAATTTCAAATGGAACAGGTGAAGCAACAGTATTCTCCACCCAAATACAAGCACATCTCTTCCTGAGACAAAAGAAAGTGGAAAGCACTATAGACCTTGAACAGTTCCCCTAATAACTGTCTTTAAGTGCTGGTTTGCCTATGAGAATGCAAGAGAACCTAATTATTGAAACTCTGTAATTGAAACATTAGAACTTGCTATCGCCAGAAGAAGTAGTTCCACTTGTCCTTATCTCGTCCTTGTGATAAAAATCGTCCACTCATCCCTGTGATAAAAATTAACACAATAATAGCAGTTGATAGTCCCGTCTGTAAGAAGCTGTCAGCATACTATTTTCTTGCTAGGATACTGGAGGCTGGAAGGTTCTCTTAGGATACAATGCAATAGGAGGACTATACAAACTAGCTCCGTTTTTATAGACCAATTACCCCATCTCAAGGACGTGAAAAGCAGAACATGCATTTTGCTGTATTACTCACTTGCTCAGTGCTTCTACACCAGCTTTGGCAGAGGCGCTCGGCACCACAAATCCTGAACCACTCTCTGCATAAATTGTTGTAATAGCCAGGAATGCTGCTCCTGGAAGTTGAAAAAACATTTTAAAAAAAAAAAAACCACACCAAAAAACCAAAAAAATGCATGAAGATCAAACTCTGAACTTATGGTAAAAAGCAACTCCAGTGGTACAGAAGTTTGCAAGCCTTTTTATCTCAGCTCCCTCTTTTCCATGAATGTTAAGATTTGTTCCATGTAACTGTTCCATAGCTATTGATTAGGCTCCAAGGGTCTAAATCCTCAGACTTCTACTGATAATGAATTTACATGTTCCAATCAGTCTAACTGGAGTGAAGGCCTAAGATCTTACACTGTCTTTTTAGAAGCTGCCCTAGCCTAGTAGTCGCTAACCAGGCACTTTCTGGCTGGCAAAAAAGACACCCCAAAACCCAAAAAAACCAGTGTTAACAATTAGGTTTGGCGTAATCTCCAAATGACACAGTTTAGAGACTGAGTTAAAGTTTATGCAGGAAAAAAAGAGGGGGTTTTTAAGAAATTTTCAGAAGCTTCTTCTGCAGTAGAGCTTGTGACAGAGGTAACCTGCATAACCTTTCCCTGATTATTATCACAACAAACCGTATTATAAAAAGACCACTTTCTTTTATATGTTATATTTTACAACAAATTTGGCAAAAAACGTTATGGAAAATAATGGAAACTGCAAATGTTTATTTCATCTTTCTTTTACAGAAGCCTGCAAATTCTAATTGTCTGATCAATGACTAGCATGGTCTTACTGTAACTGGAAAATGAAGGGTGAGGGACAACAGCTCACTACTTACGCCACAGTAACGAAAATAACTGCTCTACTTACTGTATTTTAAAAATACTTTAATTAGAATAGCTACCCAAGGGATATCTCTAAAACAATATATGTTACTGACAGAATGTATGTGACAACTAAGTAGAGACTCAGTTAAAAAATTACCTTAACGTTAGACAAGAGAAACTAAAGAGAAGCATAAACAAGCACTGAGAAATGCCAGCAGATATCCAGAAACCATGGACTGAAAGCAGTCTAGTGAGAGACTTCAGAAAGAAAAATCAGAGGCAAAAAACAGAACAACTTTGAAGTTATTTAGAGCTGACTGTTAATTACATTTTGCAGAATTAAACCACAGAATTTTTAAAATACAAGTTAAAGAGAGGCGAGTTGGATGAACCTAACACAGAAGCAGGAATGAATGAGAGCTGTACAGCTCTGAAGTTTTAAGTATACTTCAGTTCACAAGCAATTTTTATTTCTAAAGCTTATATTCATAAATTGGACAGTAACTAACCAATTAACTCCTCTCATTTTGTAAAACTTTACTGCATAAATAAATAATGCACTAGCAGATTATAAATCCCTTTAAGAAGTCTACAAGCAGAGCACTTTTATTATTTACTAAATTAGGTTTAATGTAGGTCACACTGCAGACCTAAAGGATGTGCCAGTCTTCTACTAACTGTCAGATGTATAGCATCCTCACCGAGTGTTCTAAAATATTTGCACTGGGTAGCATCTCCATCACTTCAGAAACTAAGGTCTCTGCTGAGACTTAAAGAAACAAGCAGGTAAAAAGCAAATGAAGGTGCAGAATGAGAGGACAAACAGGTACAGTTGATTTACTTGAAAAAAACCACATCCTAAAGAAAGCCTTGAATAAAAAGTCTTACATACAGACAAATCCCCTAGAAAGAAGGCATGCAATTAATAGAAAAAGAAATTCACATGTTTTGGAAGCTTGGAAGTAAAAGGAAAAGAGAGAACATGAAGATGAATGACTTCTGGATTTGAAGGTGGAAGCAAGGAAAGCAGTTTTTCATCCAATAGCAGCCGGATTTCACATTACTATAGGGAGACACTGCATGGAACTGGAAGGGCATAAAGCAAACTATGACAATAGTTTGCCATACTGATACAGTAAGTCAGAGTTGGGGATGGGTTTTTAATGTGTGGATATTAGCACTAGAACAGTAGAAATCATTTTTTCATGTGCTGCTAACATGTATGTGGGAAACACCTTGTCAAAACTGATCAAAACTTACAGACTTAGTGAAACAACGTTAATTTTATATTGTACTTTTTGGAGAGGGATTTTGAAGAAATTCAACTAATTAAGGTGTTCCAGAAATACAGTGCAAATATAAAAGGATTATTTCAACACAGGGGCTGCACCTGGCTGGAACAGGATTCAGAAGTGATGGCATATGGAAAACCATAATAGACCTCACTCCTTTTAAATGCTATTTGAGATTATATCATTTTGATAAAAAAATAAGCTCAAGGTTTTGAATTCATAACTAGAATATAATGTAAAATGAAAACAGTTATTTGTATATAATCTATAATACAACACAGAAGGGCATACATTATCTTTCCCTTAAAGACAATAATCTGGTTAAGTAAATATTTGGCTAAATAGTGTATCAAAGAACTATCATATTTTTAAGGTAAAGCCAAAATACTGGATTAAACTCCGAGGTAATCTAGAACTAAGAATTATACCTGGGAAAATAAAAACTAATACTGATTTAAATTTTGAATTTCTTTTTCAAATTATCTCAATCGTAACATTCTCCAGTGCTATCAGTCAAATACGACCGCTGTGAATTTTATTTATTTAAGTGTAGGAGGAAAATTCAAAGCGATATGCTGACTTCCTGTTCATTTAAATAAATGCCACATAGAATCATTTGGTTGGAAAAGACCTTTAAGATCATCAAGTCCAACCGAACCTGTTCACCACTAAACCATGTCCCTAAGCACCTCGTCCACCCGTCTTTTAAATACCTCCAGGGATGGGGACTCAACCACTTCCCTAGGCCTGTTCCAGTACCTGATAACCCTTTCAGTGAAGAAATTTTTCCTGATGTCCAACCTAAACCTCCCCAGGCGCAACTTGAGGCCATTTCCCCTAGTCCTATCACCCGTTATCAGGGAGAAGAGACCAACCCCCACCTTGCTACAGCCTCTTGTCAGGCAGTTGTAGAGAGCTATAAGGTCTCCCCTCAGCCTCCTCTTCTCCAGGCTAAGCAACCCCAGCTCCCTCAGCCGCTCCTCATAAGACTTGTGCTCCAGACCCCTCACCAGCTTCATTGCCCTTCTCTGGACATGCTCCAGTACCTCAGTGTCCTTCTTGTAGTGACAGGTCCAAAACTGAACACAGTATTTGAGGTATGGCCTCACCAATGCCAAGAACAGGGGAAGGATGACTTCCCTGGTCCTGCTGGTCACACTATTTCTGATACAAGCCAGAATGCCATTGGCCCTCTTGGCCACCTGGGCACACTGCTGGCTCATATTCAGCTGGCTGTCAACCAGTACCCCCAGGTCCTTCTCTACCAAGCAGCTCTCCAGCCACTCATCCCCAAGCCTGTAGCCCTGCATGGGGTTGTTGTGTCATGTTCAGTTGGTCAATGAAACCAACATAGATTAAGAAGACACAAAATAACTAACAGCATATGTTTTAAACAAAGCCTTGTTTTTTAAATTTTAAAAACATTTTACAACTAGTACAAACCCTGCAATTAGATTTTTATATTCAACCTCATGGCCTCTGGGTCCAATTTTAAGGGCAGATTCTACAATGAAGTAATTGCTAGCCAGTTCTACTGTGTGATATTTAAGTATGGCTTTACTCAAAATTAAGTTTCTTTCTAAAAAATATGTAAATGTTAAAAAGTTTGTTTCTTTTCAAACTCTCAAAACTGGCTTTAATAATAGTAAGGTAAGGAAAGCAAGTAATATTATTATGTCACAATGCTTAGTTACCATTTTTCTTAAGATACCTTTTTGTACTTTAATGAGCTCCTTTCCAATTTCCAGAGTTACAAAAGCAGTACCATTAAGCACAATATCAGTTATCGTTTTCCATGCATTAGCAGAAAGTCGTTCAGAAGGAGAAATAAAGTTTCCAGCTGCGTTGTTTATCACAACCTGAAACACATGAATGAAAGCCTAAGAATTAACCAAAAATAACCCTTCCTGAGAGAAAAGCAAAGATTTACAAGGTGGTACTTACTGTTTCCAGGTAGAAAAATAAAAATATCCTTATCAAATTAGAGGGGGAAGAGAGAGAGAGAAAGAATAATCCATCAGAAATTTTAACATCTGCAGCATAGGTATGTATCAGTAACAGAAAATGAGCTGTATTTCCAAACTGCTGTTGTTTCTAGTCTAGTAGCGAGGAACTGTTAACTGTAGAGGGTAACTTAAGTCACTGTTTTCCATAGTGTCTCAAGCGCATCCTTACAGAAAAGTTTGTCCCCACCAATTTCCAAGGTCACATATTATATTTAACGTAATGGATACATGGGAATAAAAGCAAAAGAAGTTCAGGTAACCACATGACTGAAGTCTGGATTAGCTGACTGTTGTATAACAGGAAGTCTAATCAGTCGTGACAAAGGGAATATGCTGATTTAGTGGACTGCAAGCAACTACTACAAAACTTTTTTGAATAGATGTATATCCATCACTTACTGACTTTCTACAAAAAAAACAATTAGGCAGAGGACACTTTTGATACATCATCTCCTTAGCTCTTCAACCTAGCAAGTTAGATATATTTTTTTTTAAGAGGACTAAGCATCACATAAGCAGTTTTTAAACCAAAACTTACATGGCCAGATCTTGTGTTATTTAATAATAATATAATGTGCTGAAGCAATAAAATGGTGTATCACTTATGGAATGGCACCTAGATTCCTGTAGGTTTGCACATAAAACAAAGCCTTTGTCCAGAAGAATTTCTGGGCTAAATTAAGACATTAGAATTTTCAATTGAAAAAAAAAAACAAAACAGAGCACAGCACATATTGCATGAATTTAAAACAAATAAAACACAACGGCCATAAATCATACACATAGATGGCAAATACGATTTAAAGACCTCCCTACAGTTTGAAGAAGAAAAAAATAAAATCCAAACATCTCAAGATGCTGAGGAGGTTTCTTGAATCACTGAATAAATATAGCAAAGACACAGTAATAAAACTAGTGAACCAAGGGCTGCATGACACGATCTTTGAGGTATGTAGATACATATGGCTGCCAAAACAATCCACATGACAAAAGAACGATTGCTTTCTAATTGGGAGAAACAGTCTTGGGGACAGAATGAACAAAACAAAGCTAGGAGGAATTTAATACTGCCATTAATTTCTGTCTCTGAGATCTCATCTCACATGCACAGTGGCAGTGATACCCAGGCTTGCAGTATTCATAAACATACGTGTCATGTCTGTCACCAAGAGAAAAACGAGACAGAAAGAACTAAATATTCAATTTACTCTGCAGTCTCTCTTAAACACACAGAATATGCAAAATTAAAGAGAAAGGAAATGCTTGTAAAGATCAAGTCACGGAAAGTATTTATTTAGAAAATTACTGGTGTACTAAAAATGTAATACATGGGAAGAAGTCTCCTCCCTCTCTGCACACACTTAAAACCTGGAGATCGTGATATGCTTTGGCCAAAACCTGCAGTAACTAGTAGTCAAAGTAACATCCAGAGTATCCTGTCTACAAATTAGGACAGTGAGCTGATTATTTTATAGCACTGTTACCACATACAGCTGTGAGAAATAGTTCTTCCACTTCTTCCCACATTTAGAATTCAGGAGGTTCTCTTCCATGACTATAGGAAGCTATTGGTGAATGCGAAGTGTCTACAATACGCATGACAGTTTTAAATCTACAACAGTTTTAAATCTCACTGACTATCCTTTATATCTATGTTAACATTCTCATCACACTTTGCATCAGCTAGCAGAATCCAAGCTGTTTCTCTCACAATCAAAACAGAGTTTGGTGCCTATCGTTGTTCAGACTCTACCAGACCACCCTTCTCAAAGCAACAGTCTGATGTAAAAGAGCTCTGTGTTTTGTGCCAAAACGACTAAAAAACAGATGCTTAGCTTGACTGAAGATTTTTTCTTGATTTTATAAGAACTTAGTTTTCAAGTTGGAACCTTCTCTGTGTATTTTAATAAACTAAGCAAGGACCATTTCTAATTTGCGAGACATTCTGTTAACAAGCAACAGGTGTAATTCAGTACCACCACAGGTAAGTCACCTTTTCAGAAGGACTTAAGGGCAATATTCTGCTCACTTCATTAATTCAAAGAATCCCATCATAATTGTCCCACTGTTTACAAAGAAAATGTTAGCCCTTAGGGTAAGGACAATAACGTTTTGTCTATTTGGCCACTCAGTATTTTAAGAACCACAGAACAGAGTAACCAGCCTAATTGTGAATGTTAGCTTTATTCATGAAGTACTGCCACTTTTTGACTGTTGTCTCTTTAGATTCCATTAACTTTCTATCACAGTTATTTTCTTCATACCTACTACGTAGAGTATTTTCAGTAATGAAGACTGAAGTTCTTCCCTTTCACTAGAACACTTACATCAGGATGTCCTGCCACTTGGATTATTTCAGCAACAGCATTCTTAACTGAAACTGGATCTCTCACATCACATTGGACGGCATGAACCTGCATAAGAATAAAAAGGCAGCTGTAAGACTTCAATACTGCATCACTCATAAACTAAACAAGCCCACAGAAGCAAATAAATGCATAAAAAACCTATAACCATTTAAAGTATAGTAACCAACATATTCACAATTCTGTATAAATTTACCTTATTCCCTGTTTTAGAAGAAATTTCTTCTGCTGTTCCTTTCAAAACATCAAGCTTCCTAGAAATAAGTACAGAAGGTCACTAAATTTCAATTAAATGCAATTACAATTCAGATTAATAAAATCTGACAATTTTTTCTGAGCAAATGAGCTAAAACTTAAAATGTGTGTGCACATGCGTGTTGCTCATTTTCATGAAAATTGAGCTTTAAGATAAAAACTATGTTTAGTCACTAACTTTCTGAAAGAAAACTTTAAATCTAAGTAATTTCTGATTAGTGCTATTTCAAAGTAACTTATAAGTGACTACAGTAAGAGATTATCTTAAGCTAATCAAATGCAATAAGCTAGAAAAAATATTTCCATTTTGAGAACATAATCATAACAAACTTAGTTTTGGCTCTACCAGTATTTTAGAAGGGACATGGCATATTCAGATTTAAAACTAAACATCTAAACCAGTGTTTGGACAAATGTCACAACACTTTTACTTATTTTGATTAAAAATTAAGATTGGTTTTTTCCAGTCTGTACTGTAGTGCCACTTAAGAGAACTGTAGAAAGATCACCTTCATTAAGGGAAAATCAAGGCTGCTTTTAAAGTCAAAAGAATTAAGAGGAATGGCTTTAATTCTTTATTGCAATTAAAATCTCTATCAATTCACAACATTCAATAATGGCCATTTCAATTTTTTGTTCTCTTTTAGGATTTACTTTAATTTATGTCTAACATTCTGGGTTTATTTTGCTGCCGCTTTTCATGGAAATGCATTTAGTTTATTTCTTTCTACTGCTGGTTACTCCATTAGACGTTTGTAGATGAATCTGCAAGTTTCTGGTATTTACAGTATGACATTATAATTTAAAAGTGTATTGAAATAGAATAAATTTATCCAGTTTATGAAGAAGAAAGCAAGATCCACTATGAAGAAGATAACAGATCCATTCAGCATTCAGTACTAAATGAAAGCTCTAAAACATCTTCATTAATATTTACCGGCTTGCTATAACACACTGGGCACCTAAACTGGACAAAGTTGTTGTCATCCCTTTGCCAATCCCAGTACCTCCACCAGTTATAAAGGCCACTTTCCCTTGAAAGGTATTTGGTGGCAACATCACTTTTTGAAGAGGTGGAAAGAATGCAGCTTGCGGTGCAGTGCTGTCTTGATGCAGCACATTTGGCCCACGGCTGAAAAACTGAAAGAAAAAAAAAAAAAGAGGGAAGTTAGTTTTTTCTCATTTCTGTATATATACAGGACTGTTACACAAGATTAGATTTTCTTAGGACAGTGAAGGTAACACGTAAGCATGAATGTAAGCATGATTAGGCTGTATTATACTATATTTCTAGCATCCTAAAACACCAAACTAACTCAAGCCCTAAACTAAATACTGAATTAAATGCTTTGGGACAGCAGCTTTACACTAGCAATGCAGAATTTCCCCAATTATTTACAATAGAAAAGTTACCTTAACCTGAAGCTGCAAACACTTCGAAGTATTACAAAATGGGCCTATTTTTATTTTTGATGTGCCAAAAATTAGAAGAATATCAGTTATATTTATTTTCTCTAGTACTAATTTGTACTTGAGCATTGAATATGTTTATTTGAATACAAAAAAATTCTAGTATAATTTTAGGAAAGAAGACTGAATGGTTACTCTTATACAGCGTTGCTGATAAAAACATGCAATTGTTCAATAGGTTGACATGAAGAAGAAAGGTTATTTAAAAACAGTAGAAGTATTACAACTTATTGTTCTATTTACTAACTCACATTTTCCACACCAAAATTAAGAGACTATTTTTAGTGGTAGTTGAATAATCTGAACGTGCCACAGGTATCATGGCACAGAGATGGGGGTTTCACAGAGCTTAAAGCTGGCCTGAGAAAGGGTGCGTGTGAATCTTTCTGTGTAGTAATACAGTTGCATATTAGTAACACAAGTGAAAACAGAGAGAATCATCATGGAATTACACTGCCAATTTAATGGAGCTCATGTTCCAAAGAAATGATGAAACAAAAACTAAGAGTGAAGAAGAGTTGTGGGCACTATGTAGAACAGAATTACAAAAGTAAAGCTCAAACTAAAGTTAGAATTAACACAAAAGTAAAGCAGTGCAGCAAGTCCTAGAGCATTTATATTAAAGGTGTTCCTTAGGGATTTTTTCTGGAAGTTGGACTCCAGCTACGTCCAATGCCTTCTCACAAAGAAAAAAAAAAAAAACCAAAGGTGGTTCTAAGGAACACTGGCAGACCAAGCAGAAAATCCAAAAAACGTCACAACATTTTTCTGATGTAACAAAATTCTACAGATCAGATCTGCCACCAAATGTCTGTAAAATACTGATTTTTTTTTTTCTTTAATTCCCCCAATGAAAATAAAATTTACATATTTTCACAGAGTACCAGAATACCACTAAGCCTCCAAGAAAGAGAGGCGTGAAGATTCTCTTTCTGGTCTGTCTTAGTAGTCCCCTACTCATGTGATCTCTCTTCAGGTACGAAGGGAGAGAGCAGAGCTCCCTCTGGAGAACTCCAGCTCACGGCAGCGACTGCAAATCAAGACGGCATTTGGACTCCCTCTTCCTCCAGGGTAATGAGACAACCGGAGGTACCCCCCACGCAGTGCTGAGTCTCCCTGACCAGGTGCTCCGCTAGTGACGGCGACGGACACAGCCCACTCCTCTTGCTCACCACTGCAGAAACCGTGCAAGCAGCTTTCCTCCTGCTCGGGGGAGGAAGATGAGGGAGCAGGCCACAGCAGGGGCAGGGAGGAAGACTGCACTAAGACTAATAAAGTACTGGGACGCAAGCAGCCAGTGAAGTGGGCATCGTTCAGCAGTCTTCTCGTGAGACTGCTATCGTCTCATTACAGCTTGCACACGGGCCTTCTGTGGCAGGATTCACTCAATTTGATCATTCCACTATTTCAGGTCAAGGTTATAAATGAAACCTCTGGCGTAAAAAGAGATACAAGGAAGCCATGGAACAGCAGTACACCGAAACACGAACAACCCAAAACCCAACCCTCACCCCGGGGGTGGAAGTGAATCATGGAATTGCTGCAGAAGGCCCCACACAAGCAGTCGCTGGCAAGAAGCGCTGAGCCCAGGCACAACTCACTGGAAATGGCCTCCCGCAGCAACACCCACACAGATCAGCCCTGTCACTGCCTGGACGGCAACATTCAAACCACTTCACCCAAATCGCACTGCATAACTTCGCTATTGCGATCAAGGGGCGATACCAACGCCTCCACAGCCTGTGCTGAAACGGGAGAGAAACGGGAACGGCCCTGCGGTGGGGCGGGGGGCCATGCCCAGGGGAGCGGAGGCCGCACCGCCGCGGAGCCTCCGGGA